GATCCGGGTCGGGGGCAACTCCCAGGGAAAGGGGCTTGGGGAGCAGCTCGACCTGGGGGTGACCATCCCCTCCGCCGCCTCCCTCAGGAAAGCCCAGGGGGAGATCCTGAACCCGGCGCAGCAACCCACCTTGGCCCGTTTCCGGCGGCTGGTCCTGCGGCCCTCGGGGGTCTCGGCGATGCCGGTCGTTTCGGAGCCCACGGCGGGACCGGGGCCGGCGGGAGGCGGCTCGGCTAAAGCCCCGGGCGGCGAGGCGCGCGGCGGTTCCTTCTTACGAGGCGTGCGCTCCGAGGCGCCGGCGGCCTCGGCCGTTGTGGCGGCGGCGGCGGCGGCCCCCAAGGGAGCGGAGAGGGCCGGGGGCGGCGGAGGCGGCGGGGGCGCAGGCGCTTCGGAAGCGCCATCGCTCCCCGCGCCGCTCCCGCCGCCGCTTACCGGGACCTCCGCGGCGGCCACTTTCTTGCTCGACGACAGCATCGCCTCAGCCAGAGGGACAAAGGCAACTCCGCTCCGAGGAGGCCGGGCGCGCCGGAAGCTCCACCCCCACCCCCCCCGCGCGGCGCGGCCTACGTCACCATCCTTCTAGCCCCGCCCGAAGCCGGTGCCTCTGAGAGAAACGGTCGAGGAAGCGGGAGTAGAGAAACGAGGTGTTTTGTCCCTTCGCGCGCGCCGTAGTCTCCGTCCCAGGTAAATGCAGCGCGTGCCAAAAGCCATTGGTTTGCCAAGCGCCGCTTCCCCTGGATCAGGGGTAGGCAACCTTGGCTCTTTTTATGACTCGTGGACTTCAACTCCCAGAATTCCTGAGCCAGCCATGCTGAGGGGAAAGGGAGAGGTTTCCAAGCTGAGCCATGCTGGCTCAGGAATTCTGGGAGTTGAAGTCCACGAGTCATAAAAGAGCCAAGGTTGCCTACCCCCCTGCCCTGGATGGATGAGGACGGGAACCAAAGGATTTAGTGCAGTATTTGGCGATTTGAAGGTGTACGGACTTCAACTCCCAGAATTCCTCAGCCACCCCTCCATGTCTTAAAATCGTCCAGGTTGAGGAACACTGGTATTAGTGCTTGTGTAGCAAAGGGACGACTGTGAACCCAGAGACGGCACACAATATACGTCTCAAATATTTTTGGGTTAAGAAATATTATTTTCTGGATTGGTTCATTTTAAAGATTATGTTAGGATAGATTAATTTCGGATTTGTTTTTCCCCTGGGAAAAACAGCAACGCTGTATGGAAATACAGTAATAGTCCTGAATGGGTGGCACTCACTCCTTATAGTAAAAGTTTTTTTCACAAACTTGGCTTGAATATTCTTTCTAATATTAAACTTTTGCCTGCCCGCTTTTCCCTCAACAGATGCATTACGAAAGCCTCCAAACAGAAAAAGACCCTCCTGTCTTAGAGGCTTTCTTGGAAACAGATACAATAGGGAGGCTGGAACTTTAATCTGGAATGTGTCAGCTTCCCATTCTTATACTGAAAGTCGGAAAGACAGACAATAGAAACCAAGGGGGTGTCTGTAGGTATACCAACACCTTATGTGATATTTGGGGGAAAAATTGCAGTTATTTCCTACCAGGAAAAATTAGGGACAGGAGACAAGGTAAACCAAATTCCAAACCATTGTAACAGTAATGTATGTAGGACACATAACTACGGTATATATCATCTGTAATTTATTTTCTGTTTCGGGGAAAGAGGTGTTTTCATCACACCTGTAATTTCATTGCAGATAAGAACTTGAACCGTGAAAGAAAGCTCCACGGTTCCTATCTAGATAGCGATTGGGTTTAGAAATGTCAAATCCCAATGGTTCAAAAATTATTTTTCAGGTCTTTATCCTCCGCCCACCTCTGCCACAGATGAGATAAGAGTTTCCCATACTGTATAAGAACATCTGGACAAAGTGCTTAAAAGGTACAAAAGTCACATTCAAAGCTTTCACAGATTCAAGCATGGACACATTGGTTGTGACAAATTATTTTTCCTTTCAAGCATGGCTTCTGTGATTAAGCTAAATGTTACACATTACATTTCTCCCTCAGCTCCTGATTACAATTCATTTGTTAGTCAGAAACAAGACTTTGGGGAGGTTGTTTCAAATCAAGTGAACAGCGCATAGAGCTATGCAGGATGCTGTGTTTAGGAATGAAATGGGTATACTGTATATATTTCTTTTTTTAAACAAAGAAAAACCTGGAAACTTGATTTGGAGAGACTAGGTTTCTCCTCTGGGCCGCCTCAGTTCTTTTCCCTCAGTCCTGTTTAGATTCCTTTAGAGCTTGAAGTCTTTCTAACAGTGGAGGGTGAGAATAATGCCACATTGAAAATAACCAGTCTGAAACAGGGAATCCCAGGTTATCTTTGTTCAACTTGATCAACGCAGAATACAAATCTTTTGCCTTTCCGAGTTTCTTGGCAAATGCATCAGCTTGAAATTCAAATCGCCGACTTAATACAGTCAAGCAAAAGGAAAGCACCTGTAGTGGAAAACAAGAGGATGACGGGATGAAATTTCAGAATGAGTTTAACAGTCTTTCAAAACCACTTCTCCAAATCTCATCAAACCTTCCAAAGACTAAAAGGGAGGAGAAAATAGGCCACATTTGGGATTAATTCTTAAGTTTAGATATTTGCAGAAAGGAACTCTCTTTCCTTCTTGTCAGACCCCAGATTCCACCCTCCCAAAAAAATATTACAAAGAGTGAAAGAAGTCATTTTCTTATGAGTTAATGAATTGAAAAATGGAAGATGGAAGGGTTTTGGGAAACCTCAGAGAAGAACCTCTGGGAGAGGGGTGAGAAGGATGTCCTGGGAAAAACATTTCTGGGAAGACCAAAGGTCTGGATGGAGAACTAGGAACAGAAAAGTCGTCTCCTTTCACGGGAGGATACTAGGATCCAACCCATTTAGACAAACTGTAACAGTAATTTAGGAACCAAACTTTCCACATGGAACCCAGGCAACTTTGCCAGGAAAGCAGCTCTTATCAGTTGAGTAAAGCACCAATCAAAACTGAAGTTTACCTCATTGTAAGGTGAGAAAATAAACTGAAAAATGATCAGCAAGCCTATCAGGGTAGGCTGGGTTTCGTAGAATCCAAAGGCAGCAAAAAGCTCCTTTCGACCAATCAACACCGCAAATAAGAAGAAACATAAGAAGGAGTTCATCTGAGAGAAAAGAAGACACAGAGTGTTAGGAATTGTTAACCACCGTAAAATGTTACACTGAAAATGATCTACTGCATAATAAATCAGTTGGGCATTCAGAAGGAAAAAGTAGCACATTGCAGTTGATGTGTTTGGTCTTGGCAAATTGAGTACACAAAGTTATGAAGATGCATTGAACAAGTGATTATTAATAGCTAATCTATCATTTTTATCTCCTCATGTCAAGTTGGATATCACATGCTGGATAACGCAAGAGGGAAGTGGGTGTTTCATCCTTTATATACTGCCTGCATGGATATACTCCTAGAGCAGGGGTATCAAACTGTTGGCCTGTGGGCCAGTTGCATCATATGGAGGCCGCACCCACCCCAGCTCCGGCAATGTGAAAAAAGTTGTGATACGTCGCAACACGTCACGTGACACGGCAAGTTTGACACCCGTGTCCTAGAGCATCTGGTTGGCTACCATAGACACTGAATGCTGGACCAGAGAAGTATTTGGCTTGGTCTACCACAGCTTTTTCTGAGTCTCCAAAGACAGGAACCTCTCATATTAGAAGAGCCAGGACACTTCCATGGGTAAAGATATACCATTTTATAGAATGTGAAGCATTCCCAAACTCTAGAGGGACTTTTTTGATTTTGTTTGGCTATGCATTTCACTCAGAGCCAGCAATCTTTCAGTTCTATTGCAATCATTTCTATATAACAACTCAAGGAAGATTAAAACATAAAACAGAAATTACAAACGATAAATAAAAGCAACCTCTCTTCAGCTCTGATCCAGTCCACTGATACCTACACCTATCCAGGTGTGCTCTTATAACTTTAAAAAAAGGCTAAAGATTCAGATTTCATTTAGTCTGTGTTATCAACATTGCCCAAAGCTTTTATATGTCCTCATTCCATTTTTTTCAATTATACAATAGAGATAGAAGAAAGCAGAAAGCGAGCAAAAAAATGGAACCATTTTATTTTCTGAGAAAATAGTAACAGTAGATAGGTGCCTAATTATTTCTTACATACCTGGCTAATGACAATATTTTTAATGGTGTGGCCAAGTTTCCAGTGTCCCAACTCATGACCCAGCACAGCCAAAACTTCTTCATTTTTGCAACCTTGCTTCTTACTCTAGACATGTGGAGAAAAATATAAATTCATTTCTTTAACTTGCGGGCATGCACACACGAATGGATAGGACACAATGTTCTTGTTTGGATTACCAGGTCTGGATGGATTTTTAAAAGGATTTTAAAGAGGAGGGCAAGACCTAAGATCAGTGCTAGGATTCAGCCAGTTTGCACCAGTTCGGCAGAATCAGTAGCTAATTTTTTGTTGCCCAGGCCCAGAATGGACTTCTGGAAGCGGCATCCACACAAAGAACTGGTTGTTCACATATTTTAATCCCACCACTGCCTAAGATGCTCGTAGCTCCTTTAAAAACCCAGGCCAAAACTGTCACTACACACATACACAAGTAATAAACCACGTTGAAATTTTTTTCTTGGCAATTCATTATCACTTTAATTTTAATAACCAAAGATTCAGTAGGCATGCTGGTATTCCTGTAATTCCTGCTTGGGATTTTCTTTTAGGCAACCCATCTTTGTTATTTGGAAACTATGGATCAGGTCTGTCAATAATAATAACATAAACAAATCAGGGCTCACTTTGGTTTTAGCCTTTGTCTCGGGTCCTCCATCATCTGCTCCAGCTACTTCCGTGTCCACACCAGGCTCTTCAGAATGCTCTTTGTTGAGGGCAGAATAATCTTCCAGGAGAGTGTCAAACAACACAATACGTTTGTTCTTGAAGAAACCATAGAAATAAGCATTGCTGTGGGAAGAACGTTTGGAGCCTGGGGAGAAACAGTAGGGCAAAATTCAGTCACATTAGAGTATACCCACCCACTAGATTTTATGAGGGAGAGGGCTTATGTGTATTTGGCCTTCAGCATCAGCCTCCTATTAAGAGACCAGTAAGCTTGCTTGGGTATGAAACTGTTCACTTGTTCCAGCTGCATGCAGCTGGTGACCCAACCACATAGACTAGATCAGGGCTTTTCAACCAGTGGTACAGGTACCACCTGTGGTACATTGGCACCTGGCAGGTGGTACGCGACCATCCTAGAAAAGGGGTAGCGGGGGAGGGGAATGAGCTGAACCGGTGGCAGCACCGCACAAGCCTGAGTGAGAGATGGCTGGAGCTGCAGGGCTGTCAGGGCTCAGCGGAAGCACCAGGATCAGTGCCGCTTTCCAGCTGATCGGCGTTTCTTCGGGACTGTCAGGACTCAGTGGAAGCGCCAGGATCA